CTCAGTTATGTCGTCTGTCTGTATCTTGTTTCAGGAAGGATTCAGTGGGCAGCATTGTATCAAATCTTAGTATATTATTGAGGTGCATTTTATTTATTTATTGGTGAGGTCTCTATGAATACTCCAATATGATGATTTTCGAATGAGTCTACTGAAGATATAATCATCTATGAATACTCTGGCACTGGTCTCACATTGGCAGTTTATAGTTCTCTAAAGACAAGTTCTACTCTTCAATGAGGTTTCTAAAGCATTTCCCGAAGTGCGCCAGATTATGACATACTGGTAATATTATCCTGTGTAAGTGTACCTCAGAGAATGATCTTTAGTGCGTTTTTAATATTTACATCAACTGTTGGTGTCCGACGATTAGTTTTGTCACCTAATGACAAATTGCCCGACACTCGCGATTACTAACATAAATATTCTTGAAATTGTGAATGTAGATTGTCCCAAGTATTACTTTTCCTTTCCTATTTCGATATTCCATATTTTTATAATGAAATGTTGCTTCCTAATATCCATGGAGCTTATCTGGGGTTCTAGTTTACAAATATGGTATTTTGTCTTATCCCTTCGCAGGCAAGACAATATGTGCCTATTCTATTCGAATCTGCTAGAGCCCACGTGAATAGTGTCCCTATTCTTTTTCTGTATGCCCTTGATAATCCCGTTTGTTGTGTAAATGTCGGTTCATTGCAGAGACGGCAAGCATTCTTAGAGTTCCCAAATTACTAAGTCGCTTGAGCTCATAAAACAGTCTTCTAACAAAGTCTATAGACTTCTCTAGACTCACATAAATAATATAGACCTTCGGATAAACAAATATACAGTTCACAACAAAATATTGATTACTTTGCAGCATTCAAATACCTTTTAGGTGATGTGCAAGAAGCCACATCACACCTTGGTTTGATATTGCGTTTCAGGCCACACAACCGCGGGAGGATTACGAAGCCACGAGGGGGGTTTCTGACCAAGCCATCAGAAATACTTCATTAACATAATCCACGATTACAGATAACTAACAATTTAAACACACCGAAAGGTGGCAAAGCTTAACCAGCAAATCATAACGTTTTGTGTGAAAACTATGCAGAATATTTATCGACTTCCGTCGATCCAGAACAAGAAAGCGAATATACACCTCGTGGAAAAGCGTTGAGGATCCTTTTCCTTTCGGAAGCAAACGAAAGTGCCCGCGTTTATGCTTTGTTAAAGCTGGAGGCAAATATTACCGTATTTACTTCCGTTTTCTGTTGTTGTGAAAAATAACATGGCAGCCAGCGGCGGGATGGAAGTCAAACGCGGCAGGATAAATAGTTTTCGTATATATTGAAATTTTTATTTTCTGTTCTGTCGGATTCCATGTACTGAGCTGCTTTGTAAGCTCTAAGACATATATATATATATATATATATATATATATATATATATATATATATATATATATATATATATATATATATATATATATATATATATATATATATTTATATATATATATATATTGTATGAATATATAACCATAAATGTGAAGAATACACTTGTATCGACATTTTCACAAATTCCAATTGGAATAATGGATTATTCTTATTTGAAAAACTACTTGTTCACGTGACTGGTAGCAAACCTGTTTAGTAGTAATTAAGGTTCGGTTAACATGTTTCTGGGTCCTTCCGTCTCGTCGCTGGCTAGCGTTATACAGTTCCAGAATACTGGTGATATATATATACACAGAGGTGTGACCGGCTTCTCACTGTATATATACTGAATTTATTTTTGAAATAAAACTAATTTCGGGAAAAAGTTGTTCTTGCTAGTTGGTCGGTAATCTCTTATGATGGTCTTAATGAAGAGCTCGAGGTGGACAGGACTCTCTCTCTCTCTCTCTCTCTCTCTCTCTCTCTCTCTCTCTCTCTCTCTCTCTCTCTCTCTCTCTCTCTCTCTCTCTCTCTCTCTCTCTCTCTCTCTCTCTCTCTCTCTCTCTCTCTCTCTCTCTCTCTCCCCTGGCTAATATGATCACCTGTTCTTCCAAAGTGCCAGTTTTCCTGGATACTTGATATCCTTGATTTTGTAGTTTTTGAGTTTGCAAGTTGCCGAGATTCAACCTGTTGCATTATTCCCGGTGGTACAATACTACTGCAGTAATTTTGTTCTTATGAACAATGAGGTCCCATCGTTATGATAGTGTAGTGCTTAAGTTCTTGGCAATAAACGTTTTCCCAAAGTCAGTATCATCAAGATCATGGATTAATGATTTGCATGGTCGAATTGAACGATCGTTTATATAAGGCGATGGTTCTAATACATCTTTAATAAAATTGGCTAGTAAAGTAAGAGTAAACAATAAATCAATGTAAATTGGGTTTATTGATAAAGCCGGTAATTTTATGATCATTGATATTATTGTTTAAAATGAAAAATAAAATATGTTGTTATTCAGGTTTCAAATGGAGCGGAACTGGCTGTGGAGAGGGAGAGAGAGAGAGAGTCAGAGAGAGTGACAGACAGACAGAAGGAAATTATCGGGAGAAAGCACCAAGCCATTAAAAACTATATGGCACTGGGAAGAGATTAGGATTAAGATTTGGGATGGGACAAGACGCGGGAATGGTACCCAACCACTTGGACGGTCGGGGGATTGAACACCGACCAGCATGGAACGAGATCATCGCTCCACCGTCAAGCCGAAGTGATTGAGCAAAGAGAAAGAGAGAGAGAGAGAGAGAGAGAGAGAGAACGAGAACTTGTAAAACCCCAAACTCGATATGGGAAAGGAAAAAAGTCTTCCTTCAGTAGCATGTTAGAGGGCGTAAGTCCATAGACCGACCCGTTGGCATAGTAAAGGTGAGAGGTCAGTAGTCGCTGTTGCTACGGAGTCGCTGGAGCCGGAGTCGCTACGATAGCCTCATGGAGTCCCGATGACAATCTGTACGTAGCCGCCACCAGCGCTCGACTGAGACACCACATCTCTTAAGGACTCTGTAAGGAGTGTTTAAATTAGTTGCTTGGAGTGCTTAATGTGGCTCCTACAAGTGGTTTACGCAGCTGTTACGAGGGCTAATGGAATCCAGTGTCTGATAACTGTCCGCTTCTCATCCTTAAAAGTTCACAAACAAGAAACGTGTGTGTGTGTGTGTGTGTGTGTGTGTGTGTGTGTGTGTGTGTGTGTGTGTGTGTGTGTGTGTGTGTGTGTGTGTGTGTGTTTACTATTTGTGTCTGAAGAATAGAGCTATTAACTCTTGGACGCCGCCTTTCTAACCAATCATTTTTCACAACTCAAAAACGCACACACACATCTCCATGAAGCAGCCCGTAAAGCTATCCCAAGTACCTAGTTACTGCTAAGGGAACAGGCACATCAGAATGAAAGAAACTTTGCCCATTCGTTTCCTCCTCCGCCAGGAATCGAACCCGGGCCATTAGAACCAAGACCCCTCAAGGGATATCCACTCAGCCAGAAGGCCCCGCACTGTACTCGCCTAATTGTACTTACCTAATTGTGCTTGCGGGGGTTGAGCTTTGTCTCTTTGGTCCCACCTCTCAGCTGTCAATCAACTGGTATTAACTGTCAATCAACTGTGTGTATGTGAGTGTGTGTGTGCTTTGTTTATTTGCTTATTTGTATGTTCTTTATTTTCTTATCATATTTTTTTGTCTGGAGTGAGATGTTCTCAGGAATGTTTGAGTACCAGGCGAGACATTCACCTGCTTAACAGCTCCTTCCGGTCAAGTAGGCTGCACCACAAAGACATTCAAACAGTCAGCATAGCTGCACAAGTACCAGTGTTTTAACCAGTCCATCTCCCAGGTAATGGAAAACCTTTCAGTCAGGTAAATCACATCAAACCGTACCGTTCCCAACAACGTATAGTCACCATTCACTCACTAACACACAACTAACCATCCAACAATCACCAGTATACACATCTAAGCATTCTACTACTCATTAATTAGTACTCATCCCAGTCAGATATTTTACCCTGTTGACAAAGACATGAATATGCACGATATTTAAACCCATTCATGCAGTTGTTCGGTTGCATCCTCGACCGACAGGTTGCAACTCCGCGAGTCTCCTTAACCAAGCAACATTGCACACACCAGGTCATTAGAGATTTGCAAATCATTGATATCGTTTTCAAGTCTCTATCTCTCAATATTTTTTCCCACACTTTCCTTAAACGCTAAACTTCACCATACCGTTAATACTTTCACTGTGATATATATATATATATATATATATATATATATATATATATATATATATATATATATATATATATATATATAATCATGGTGATGAGTGTGGTAATGGGGATGGTGATGATGTTGATGATTTATATACGATAGTGATTTGATAATTTATGAGTGATGATGACGATGATGTTGGGGGATCATTTATGAAGGGTAGAGAGGATTTTGATGATTTTGACGTACAGAAGGTTGTCAGGCTGCGTCCCTTCACCCCTCCCCCCCATTCCCCGCCTTAATAGTACTTCATAATACTATTACTTCATACTCCATACTACTAATAATACTCCAAACTATAACTTCATACTATTATTAATACTCCATATTCTTATTAATAATTTTATTACCTCCACTATTAATATTAATACTATGATTACTATAATTGAACAATTATCACTAATAATTATTTTAATCAGCTTTTGCTCCAACATATTATTACAGTTTAATCACATTTTACCACTCACTCGTATATCACTCAGCATCCATTCATTTACTCTGCAAACGCCTCTCAGATGCGTATATTCGCCCCATGGGTAAATATATATATATATTCACAGGGAATTTCATCACCGGCGCAACAGATCCTGCAGTCCAGAAAATGTTCCAGGCAAGCACTTGCAGCTCATATTGCACGCCGCCTCAAAGGGGGGGTTTTCTTCATTTTTAGCATACTAAAATATTCAGCATATACATTGTGTCTCTCTCCCGCCCTCAGAGACAGTCTAGTTCAATCGGGAAGGAGCTTAGAGCTTGAGAGAAAAAATATCTAGAGCAGCAGCAGCAGTAGAGGTAAAGACAGCATGAGTAGCAGAGTCAGCAGCAACAGCAGTAACAGCAGTAGATGTGATAGCAGAATAAGTAGCAGTGGAGTCTGCATCAGCGTAAGCATCATCAGCAGTGTCATAGGCAGCTGAAGCAGAAGTCGTAGCAGCAGCAAAGATAGAAGCAGCAGCAGCAGCAACAACAGATATTTCAGCAGTAATAGAGGTAACTGTAGTAGCAGCAGCAAAGGCAGAAGCAGCAGTTGAGGCAGCAACAGTTGAAATAGCAGCAGCAGTAGACGCAGCAGCAGCAGCAGAGGCACCTGCAGCAGTGTGGGGAGCAGCAGCAGTAGATCAGCAGCATCAGTAGAGGCAGCGGCAAGAGCGGTAGAGTAAAGGAAGCAGCAGCAGTAGTAGAGGCATCAGAAGAGGTACTGACAACAAAGGCAGCATCAGCATTAAAGTCAGAGAGAGAGAGAGGGCACCGTTTGGGCACTTTCTCAATGTGTGTTTTTTGTCACAATTTTCTCTGTGTGTTTGTGTTGGTTTAACTCTTGAAGATTTGGCACGACTTTTGCGGCATAGACTTTGAATATTGCAGCGTTGATCTGAAGCCGTGCAACACTGCTTATTGACAGCTTATTGACTGCTTATTGAACAGTTAAATAAGTGGCGGTGGAGTTCGGAGCTAAGATGTTCCGGAGTAAATAGTTTTTTTGTTATGATGTGTTTCGACTGTGTTCAGCGGTTAAGCTTTGGTTACCTATCCTTCTCGCAGATGAATATATAATCTTTTAGATGAATCCGAGAAGGGAATGAAACAAAATATCCCTCTGTGTCACAGGAAACATTTACTAAATACCTTGTGTAGCACAGGAAACATTTACTGAACTCCTTGTGAAGCACAGGAAATATTTAATGAACATCTTATGTAGCACAACAAATCTTTATTCAAAGTTTGATCGGGTTCACCAACTTTCTGAAGAGAAAGCTGTCACTTGAGAAAGTGGTTTCCTCATAAGGAAGTTGTTTCTCCTGAGAAAGTGGTTATTCTTTGGAAAGTTGCGTCTCTTGAGCCACTGAGTGGCTACAATGTATTACTGTTACAGTAGTACTGTATAATGGCTATAATAAGTGCAACGCTTCATCCATAGACGGAAAAGACTAAGTGTCCGCGTTACATGATCCTAAGTGTTTCATGATCCTAAGTATTTCATGATCCTAAGTGTTTCATGATCCTAAGTGTTTCATGATCCTAAGTGTTTCATGATCCTCATCCCAGGAATCAATATTCCTTCTCTGCTTCTCAGAAACTGGTTGCACATTTTTTTTAAATTCTTGATCTATAAAACTCTGAGTTCCTATTATGACATCATCACATCTGTTCCAATAACCCTATGCTCTTCATAGTTGATTGTACCGCAACCATGTCGACTGGAAGGCATTAGGATAAGTTAGGTTAGTTATGGTAATTTGGTCTCTCAGTGGAGTATTCACGATCATAACCAAGGAAGTGCTTGGCAAACGAGCATCGTTAGTGCGTTGTTAGAGGCATTGGTTAGGCGCTTTGTCGTGATAAGCCACTATTAAACTTTGTGTAAACGTGTTGTAAAAGTCCGGAATTTCCCACAGCTCGATCATCCTTGGAAAGGCTTCTTGAACGGGGCTCTGGAAATTAAAAGGAAGGAAACTTTGAAGAGAAAGTGCCAAGCCATTACGATTATATAGCACTAGGAAGGGGTCTGGATAAGGATTTTGGATGGGAGGAGGGGAAGGAATAGTGCCCAACCATTTGGACGGTCGAGGGATTGAACGCCGACCTGCATGAAGCGAGACCGTCGCTCTACCATCCAGCCCAAGTAGTTGGGCCCTGGAGCAACTCACGAATACCACTCCTTGCCATTTTAATATTTTTACGGAAGGGGTTATTCGTTATTTGTATGCACGTATACAAGTTGACATGAGCCTCAGTGCACACGAAAGCACACAAATTCGTATATGCAGTAACAGCAGGGCTGTAAATGACAGCAAGGCTGTCAGTTTTGTGGGCGGAAAATAACTGGAAATTTGTAGATACGAACGCAAGCATATTTTGTAAATTGACACTTCCATTTAACTTTGCTAAGTTATCCCTGTTCTCTTTGAAAACTTTGCTAAGTTATCCTTGTTCTCGTGAAAACTTCATGGCTTGAGACATATAACTACGCCATTTTTCAGATTTTGTGGAAGATACTTTTGGGTAAGAAAAGCAAATGTCTTAACATAATCTCTCACGTTAATTCAAAGAAATATGATATGTTGATTTTGGGTAAATCAGTATAGAAGCCATGACGAGGACTCGAACCAGCATACACTCCGAAGCACAAGCTATAGATTTTCTCATTGATACATTACGTTAATGTGATTTCATTAGTGCATAAAAATATAAAAAAATGTGCTTGGTAATTTTGCATATTTGCCGAATGCCAAATGTCTGAACGAGATTACAGTAACCAATACGAGAAGGTTGTCAAGGACAACCTTGACGGTTGTCAACTAACAAGGACAACTCCTGGGTGTAATAATCACCCAGTAGTGCACCTCGCTTCTCGGTGCGTATTTATTTATGTGCGTATACAATATTTTCATTGTATACTGGACTCCGTTAAGTACTAAATGTATACCTTCAGACTGGTCAGTGAGCAGTGATGGCCTTCATAGTCGTAATTCAGAGAAATATGTCCTCATACGTAGTTATATAGACCTTCTATAGCAACAACAAGCTCTGGTTGTCAGCTAAGGCGCATATAAAACGAATGGTTATAGAACCAGGAAGCATTTCCGATATTAGAGGGCAATGGTTCAAATTACCAGAGAAACCCATATAATCGCCCTTCACTAAAACCTGTGTATACAATACTCGGGCCCTTAGGACTACGAGACCCGAGCGCTATCCACTCAGCCGCGAGACCTCCCTCGTGTGTGTGTGTGTGTGCTCACTTAGCTGTACTCACCTAGTTGTGCTTGCCGGGGTTGAGCTGTGGCCCTTTGGTTCCGTCTCTCAACTGGTATAGAGATTCCTGAGCCTCCTGGGCTCTATCATATCTACATTTGAAACTGTGTATGGAGTCAGCCTCCACCACATCACTGCCTAATGCTTTCCATCCGTTAACTACTCTGACACTGAAAAATTTCTTCCTAACGTCCCTGTGGCTCATCTGGGTACTCAGTCTCCACCTGGGTCTCCTTGTTCGTGTACCACCCATGTTAAACAGTTTATCCTTATGTACCTTGTCAATTCATCTGAGAATTTTGTAGGTGGTGATCATGTCTTCCCTTACTCTTCTGTCTACCAGTGTCGTGAGGTGCACTCATGCAGCCTTTCTTCTTAACTCATGCCTCTTAGTTCTGGGACTAGCCTAGCGGCATACCTCTGAACTCCAGCTTCATCTAATACTTGACAAGGTACGGGTTCCATGCTGGGGGCCGCATACTCCAGGATTGGTCTTACATATGTGGTATACAAGGTTCTGAATGAATCCTTACACAAGTTCCTGAAATCAGTTCTGATGTTAGCCAGCCTTGCATACTCCGCAGATGTTATTCTTTTTATGTTAGCTTCAGGAGACAGAATTGGCGTGATATCAACTCCTAGATCTTTCTCTCTGTCCGTTTCATGAAGGACTTCATCTCCCATTCGGTATCCTGTGTCTAGCCTCATGTTTCCACCGCCTAGTTTCATTACCTTACACTTACTCGGTTTGAATTTTAGTAGCCATTTGTTGGACCATTCATTGATTGTTTAGGTCATCTTGTAGCCTCATACTATCTTCCTCTATCTTAATCCTCCTCATAATCTTTGCATAATCTTTGTGTGTGTGTGTGTGTGTGTGTGTGTGTGTGTGTGTGTGTGTGTGTGTGTGTGTGTGTGTGTGTGTGTGTGTGTGTGCTATCGGTAGGGGACATGTGTGTGTGTGTGCGCGCGTGTGTGCGTGAGCGTGTGTGTGTCTGTATGCTATCGGTAGGGGACGTGTGTGTGTGTAAGCTGATCCTGGCGCAACGTGCGAGCTAGAATTACTGAAGAGGAATAAATCTCATAACGACGCCCAACTTTTATATATCCTCATCAAAATTCTTAAAGTTGGTGGTGTTGGACATGAATAATTCCGGACGCCTTATATCACGGGCAGGACACGCGCTCTCGGCCTCTCATACAGGGTCGTTGTGAAGCATTTTGGTTCGTCTTGTGTCATTTGAGGTCATCTTGTGTCAGTATGTTGGGTCCTGAGTCATATGAGGTCATGTTGTACCAGTATGTTTGGTTACCAGTATATTAGAAGCAGGAGAAGCAGTGTGAACCAGATTACTATGAAGAGTGTTAGTTTGTCGAAAAGGCGAGTTTTTTTTTAGATCGTCCTCTCGTCCTCGCTTATCAGATCGTCCTTATCGTCTTAATCGTCCTCTCGAAAACTCGAGTTTTCGACGAATAAGGAAATTAGGGAGATTTTTTTTGAGTTCAGATATGAAGGGAAGGCAGAGTACAGTGGTACAAGTGTTGGAAACAGGGTTGGGATGAAAGAAATGACTTTTAGCTTGAGGATAGGCACAGTTGATCAAACTTATTGGGTATCCAAGGCGAGAGAAAGATTCCCCACAACAATGGATAACTCACGAATACAATGGGTAACTCCTCACCACAACAATAGATAACTCAGGAAAACAATAGGCAGTGCCGCTTAAATCTAACAGTTCCCTGACAACGCTCTGCAACACTGTTGTTTAATGTTTCAATAATTAAGAGCAACTTTCCTCCCAAAAGCATTTTGCCTGCTGAGAACAAAACTTGTCACCCCTAAAACGCATTATATAAATAAACGAACAGATTTCCCAAACTAACATTTGAGAAAAATCCTATCCCTAACTTCCTGGAAAGTGGAGTTGAAAGCTGGATCATTCATTATGGTCTAATAAATCATGGAATCTAAGTAGTTAGTCAGTAGTTATTCTCTGTTCATCTGGTTGTGTGTGTGTGTGTGTGTGTGTCTGTCTGTCTGTCTGTCTGTCTGTCTGTCTGTCTGTCTCTCTCTCTCTCTCTCTCTCTCTCTCTCTCTCTCTCTCTCTCTCTCTCTCTCTCTCTCTCTCTCTCTCTCTTGGTAAAATTTACATAATATTGTAGAGACATCAAGAAGTAGAGCTACAGTGATAAAGATTTAGGGATCGAAAGAGAGCTAGAGGGATGGGGATAATTTCTTTGTTGCTGATGGAGCATCAAATTCACTGAAGATATCGACAGTAATATTGGTCATATAAAGCTTTCATTTAACATTCCATTTTCCTGAGTTTCTTGGACGATGATCTCGTGATTGATCTAGGACACAGCAAGCAATTCCGCGGAGGCTGGACTAGTGTGTTTACTAGTTGTGTTTACTAGTTGTGTTTTGCGGGGGTTGAGCTTTTCTCTTTGGGCCCGCCTCTCAACTGTCAATCAACTGTTTACTAACTACTTTTTTTCCCGCACCACACACACACACACACCCCAGGAAGCAGCCCGTGACAGCTGACTAACTCCCAGGTACCTATTTACTGCTAGGTAACAGGGGCACTTAGGGTGAAAGAAACTTTGCCCATTTGTTTCTGCCTCGTGCGGGAATCGAACCCGCGCCACAGAATTACGAATCCTGCGCGCTATCCACCAGTCTACGAGGCCCCCATGAGTGTAGCGATCGAGGTGTGGCGGAGTGTTGAGAGTTGTGTGTGTGGGTGTGACTGGGTGTGGCAGGGTGTAGCAGGGTGCGGCGAATACGGGAGGGGTGCGGCTGCTTTAATTCAACATGGATGATTGTGGCGCGAGCGCAACAGCGCGTTCTACGCTTCACCCAACCCCTGGTTTACCTGGTTTATCATTCAGGACACGTGTGGGCCGATTCTCTACCCCTCCTCTTACAACCTCCTCTCCCCTCTATAATCCCCCCCTTCTTTTTCCCCTCCTCCCACTACCCTCTCACATATTTACCCTCCTTAAATAAGGTTTCTTCCTTCCGCTCAAAATCTTATCCTTCCCACCTTACCTATATTCGTTTCTTCTTAAATGTCTTCCAGAGTTTCTCATTATTCTTAGTGTTTCTCTCCTTGGATTGGGTGGTTCAGAGTGAGTAATGAGGAGTAGTACTTAGGAGGAAGGGAAATAATTGTGTGATGGGTGAACAACTGAGTATTTTAGTGGACTTCTGGTGATATTGGTGGACCTCTGGTGGGATTTTATTAGAATTGGTGGGCCTTTGGCCGTAAAGGTGGGCCTTTATCCGTAATGGTGGGCCTTTGGCCGTAATGGTTTGCCTTTGGCCGTAGTCGTGGGCCTTTGGGCGTATGGTTCAGAATATGGTGGGCTTTTAGTGGTAGTAGTGTTGGGCTTGTGATGGACCTTTGGTAGTATTTGAAGAAGACCTTTATTACAAGAGGGTGGGCTTGTAAGGAACTTTATTTCTTCTGGTAGACTTGTGGTATTCTTTGTTATATGGGTGGGTCTTTGGCAGTAGTGGTGGGCAAGTGATGGGACCTTTGATTGGAGTGTTAGTTCTGTAATTGGCCTTTGATGGTAGTAATAGTAGGGATGGGCTTTTGGTGGGCCTTGTTGGCTCATGTTTCCGCTGCTACCACTGTAAGTCATTTGAAATCATTCAACAATTATTTGGAATAAAACATGATCCATATTTTGCCCCCATCAGAGAAAAAGAACGAATTACGTTTTGCAGCAACAAGTCAATTAAAAATCCTCTTTTTATTTCCATGAAAAAAAAAATGCATACACTATTTACTTTTGTAATCCTTCTTACAACGTACCTGCGTGACATTAGAAAGAACGAATAGCTTGCCAACAAACATAGCTGGATTGCAAAGCAGCTTACCATGGTACGTTGCTAGCTGGTCAAGCTTGCCAGCTGTTAAACGAGCTCTTAAGATATATATCATACGTTCTGGCAGTTGCTGTCTCAAGCCACCGCATGTTTAAGATGACCCTGTGTCTCCCGGCTAAGCCGAAATGACTACACGGAAAGACTATAGCGCTCACCACGAAGGACAATGTGGCCAATATTTCCTTGATCTGGATTAATTTATAATTTTGCCCCCAAGGGCGAGTTTATTGGGCAGCGTCACTCATCCTGTGAGCGAACATACCGCTATAATGACAGTATTGGGCAGCGTCACTCATCCTGTGAGCGAACATACCGCTATAATGACAGTATTGGGCAGCGTCACTCATCCTGTGAGCGAACATACCGCTATAATGACAGTATTGGGCAGCGTCACTCATCCTGTGAGCGAACATACCGCTATAATGACAGTATTGGGCAGCGTCACTCATCCTGTGAGCGAACATACCGCTATAATGACAGTATTGGGCAGCGTCACTCATCCTGTGAGCGAACATACCGCTATAATGACAGTATTGGGCAGCGTCACTCATCTTGTGAGTGAACACACTGTCATAGCATCATGTACAGCACCCTTCTTCAGGAAGAAAGCTTACCGAGCTGTTCATCGCGGATGTTATGGAAGGAGAGGTTATAAAAGGCAAAGTTTAGGATATAAAGGTTGTGGGGAGAAGAGGTTGATGTTGTTGGATCAAAGAGCAGACGATACCACTGGAGAAGAAGGAAGAACAACTGGAGTGACAGATAATTCAGTGGGGGAGCTATAGGATTGATTGATTGATAAAGAGTAAGCCACCCAAGAGGTGGCACGAGCATGAATAGCCCGTAAAGAGCTAACTCATGCACTAACTCATTCAGGCCCCTCACAAACAAACTCGCTCATATACGCTACTCACTCTCATACTCTCTCTCACTCACGCTAATACACAAACTCTCAAATACTTAAGTCTCCAGATAATATTTTCTGCTACTGATATTGTGGTCGAAGTAATCATCAATTCCATACCTTTCATCTTCAATTCTCTTTCTCTGTGGCTGCAGAAAATTGAATCCCAGGAAGCAAAAAAAAAAAAAAAATAGTCCAATTCTCTCTGCGGATGTTTACCACGTTCGCATTCTTTATATACAACCCGGAGAAAAGGAAGGGATGAGATTTTTTTCTATTTTTTTAGGATGATGGAGAGATACAGATGGAGAAAATGTTGTTGAAAAGTGGATTAGACTGTGGGATTATGGAAGGCTGGCGGACAGTCCGCCTTGCTGACACGTGCTTGATTGGTAGATAAGCTAAGGTTTCTCTCTCTTATTTGTCAAGGAACTGCGAGAATTTGTCTGGCTTTCTGCATATAATTCAACATATTTGAATGTCAACAGATGGATGCTGTTTGCGTGTTTGGCTTATGTATATGTATAATGACTCTGTTCGCAAAGTCATGTCATTTTTTTTTATCTGTTGGGTATTTGTTCTCTATATTTCATCTTGGAATTACGTATTTTTTTTTTGAGATATATACAAGAGTTGTTACGTATTGTGGGGCTTAGTCTCCCTCCAGTTGATCCAAGTTCTTGACCGAACCACCAGCTGTGGGAATGGAACGTCTCATCTTGGAGTAATCTTTCAAGCATTAGGTCACCAGACATTTCAACTGTATTCCATTCGCTGTAGTCTGTTGTTCAGTAGTTGTAGTTTTATGGACTCGTGGAATTCGTAGATAATATGCGTTTACGGTGGACGGTGTTTTGCTGGTGTTCTTGGTGTTTTGTGTTGCACTGATTGCAATTGTTGCTTGTTATTTGAGGTTTTCAGAAAGAGCTGAGGGGTTGAGAAGAGGTGGAACAAATATAGGAGGAAGGGGAAGGGGTGATAGGCACCGGGGTTGTTGTGGCATAGGGTCAAGAACCAAGGATGTAGACGGTAATGTTACGAGTAAATAGCACAACAGACGAGACAGGCGAAGGAGGTTTAAGAGTAGCAAACCAGAAAGCGGGTGAGAGGGAGAACGGAGGGATGAGGCGAGAAAGAAGGATATGAGAAGAAGAAGAGAAAGGTGAAGAAGGAGTAGTAGAGCAATTAAAAGAAGTAAGAGAGGCTGTAAGGAGGTCGGTAACAAGTCAGAGGTTCCAATCCGAAGCCTGGATCTTGTAATAATCCCATTGTGAGTGGCGGGGAACACGACACACAAGACCCGTGTCCCGGCATACAGGAAACGACACGCGACAAGTTACATACGTCACATGAGACAAGACACACGGGTTAAACGACACTTGAAACACGACACATAAAAAAAACGAGATAGGAGACACATGAGGTTTTTCCGATTGATATTGAGAAACTATTGAGCTTGAAAGCTAAGGAGAGGCTCCTCAGCTGATGAGAAATATGAGTTCCCTCATATTAGTAGAGAGAAAAGAAAGGTGGGACACAAAGAAAGAGTGAAGCGAGAACGCTGTCATTTCCTTGACAAGACATCTTTTATCATCCTACTAATTGTATTCTCTTCCTTAACATCCAAGTTCCAAATCCTATTATCATTTCATTTATGATTAAAATTACAGTTTGTTTAATACTCATTTATATTTTGAGAGAGAGAGAGAGAGAGAGAGAGAGAGAGAGAGAGAGAGAGAGAGAGAGAGAGAGAGAGAGAGAGAGAGAGAGAGGGAGAGAAACAGACGAAAGGAACTTTTGAGGCATTTTGATGATGGGGGACAATCAGCTGTTGTCAGAACGAGTCACAAACTTCCCGAGAGACGAATAGCTCTCCCTCGCCCCGCAGCATTCCCAATGACAATGAAGCTCTGGCCAAAATATGGTGGTAAAAATTTGGTGGCCCCATCCCACCCAAAAACCTCCCACAACGACACTCTTAAGAAGAGAAAAGAAAGTTTTCTTTGACGTGAACGTGGAGGAGTTTGGTGTGCTTGAGTGTTCCTTCACCGTGTTTACTTCTCTTCCCATAAAAGTTTAGGCAAATCATGTGATGCGATGACAGCATGACGGTAGAGCCCTGTTGACCACCCACTTTGTA